AGTAAAAATATGTTTATCTTTTTTAAATATTTTCTAAGAAAAATTTTAAAGTAACGAGTAACGATTTGCGTCAAAAAAAAGAAACGCGTTACCGTTAGTCGTTACCTCTAGAAGAAAGTAACGAATTGCGTTCCTTTTCTTCAAAAAAGGTAAGGAAGTTAGTCATGGCGTTACATTTTTAACGTTACTTTACAGCACTAGTAACGAGTAAAGTTAAAACAATACGTAACAATGTGCTTATATTTCGATAACTTATCCAAATCATATATATTCTATTATTTTTTATTTCCGATGTTAAGATTTCTCTAAATCGAAATATTTTGTCACAAAATGAAAAATCTAAATCATGGTTCTTTTATGCTATCAAATTTTTAACATAGTTTAAAATAGTATGCATAAAATTATTTAAAAGATTTTTAGTTTAGAAAATGAAATAAATAAAATTCATGGCATTCTCAGTTAGTTTGATTATATTGAAAACCGAAAATATTATAATCTTTAACCTATATAGAATTCTTGAAAATTTCCTTTTATTTTCTTTCCTTTTTTAATACACACCTTATTTTAACTATTTCTTCTGCCTTCTATTTAAAAAAAATTTTCGCGAAATTTAAAAAAAATTTAAAAAGTCAATGCAGCATCTACATGCCAGAATGTTCACTGAAGGCAAACTCAAAAACCTACACCTACCTCCTCAGCGGAGATACGTTATTAATTGCAAATTTTTAATTATGATAATCCCTTCATATATTCAAAAATTAACTTAGATGATCAATATTGAACCATTCGAAAAATAAAATTAGTAACCCATTTAATAATTATCACGGTCTCTCGATCCTCGGCATATTGATCTATAAATACCTAGTTATGGCGGAATATCCCTTTTGTAAGACGATATAATAGTCATGTAATGTAATTTCAATAAGTGTTTATTGCAAAACAATTAAATCAAACTAGTATTTTGTACATAGATCACTCATATTATTCTAATATTTCTAATTATCTTAATAAAAATTAATGTTTTGTGAAGAAAATATTATTTTTTGTCAAGTTATAAGATCTATTTTTAATTTAATGGCCAGTATAAATTTCATCACCGATCATAAATTTTGGAGAAACTGCTATCTATCCCTAAAATTATAATTTTTATGCATTAAATTTTAAAAATTTTTATTTCATTTTACGAAATGATCAGAGAAGTTTTCTTAGAGTTCCGATTCAAATAAATTGTTTGGAGTGTTAAAATGTAAGATATCTTCTGAAATTTTGTCAACATTATGCTGTTGTTCCCTATTTATTAGTTTATCTAAAATATAATTTATGCCGAAGTCCAAATCCATTTGGATGAAATTTTTTTTAAAAGCAAGGTCTTCTAATGAAGTTGATATTTTTACTAATTTTAAAGTATTTGCAATCATAATTTGATTTTTTAAGAATGAAAAAATCAATTGATGGATTTTGTAGTTTGATAAATATATTAATACCGATAGATATTGATATCTTGTTTGGAGAGATTATTACCCCCTATTTTATGATTCACCAGAATACTCTAATGCCAGCGTGTTATTTCGAAAAATATTACAAAACGTTACTGAGTTTGTTAATATCTATATAAATTTAAGAATTAATTGGGAAGGGGGGGGGGGGATAAATAAGTTACTTCATAACTCAATTTTTTTTAGCAATTTCATATTTCCTTCGCACATTTCATATGACTCTTGCAAAATAAAATAATTACCACAGTTCTATGGCAATTTGAAAATTTTGACCTGGCAACCTAGGGTGTGAATGATTTATTAATTATATATTTAATATTTTTTTCGCAAAAATTACAATGATCACGAAATTTTAATGTTAAAAGGATTAAATTTTTACAATTCTAAAATTTTAAGAATCGCAAATCATTTGCGAATTTATTTAGACCGATATTTTAATTTATATGGCTTATTGTTTTTTTGTTGAACACTAGTAATTCTTGAGATGAGAATTTTGCTAAGCTCAGATGAGGCGTAAAAATAACGATTATAACAATTGTCTCTTTTCTATGGTGCATCTTTGTTGAAATGTTAATTAAACATGTTTACAATATATATTTTTACCCATTTGCGTCAAAAAATTCTTAAAAAAGTTGATTATGACATTTCGCTTTTCTATAGTACATCTTTATTGAAATTTTAATTTAGCAGGTTTACAATACATATTTTTACCCATTTGCGTCATAAAAAATCAAAAAATTTTTAAATAACGATTATGACAATTGTCACTTTTATATGGTTACATTTTTATTCAAATTTTAATTTAACATGTTAACAATATATATTTCCCTTAAAAAAGTTAAATAATCACAATTATGACAATAGTCATTTTCTATAGTACATCTTATTAAAATTTTAATTTAACATGTTTACAATATATATTTTTACGCTTGTACGTAATGTTGTTAAACAGCTCGTTTTAGCCGATTTTTAAAAACGGCTAACTAGATATTTTAGCCAGAAAAATATTGCCTAAACCTCGAGATTTCGCTTATAGATGTCCAAACCTATGTTCCTTCTATAAACAAAATCTTCAGGCTTGCGTATTATTATTCTAGATGAAATACTGAGTTAGCCGTTTTTAAAAATCGGCTCAAAACGAGCCGTTTTAACAACACTATTTGTACGTCAAAAAATTTTTAAAAAGTGAAATAATAACGATTATGACAATTGTCAATTTTCTTGGTATATCATCATTATATTTTTAATTTTTAATATAAATTTTAACCCATTTGCGAAAAAAAAAGTTAAAAAAATAACGATTATGACAATTGTTAACTTTTTTATTGTGCTTTTTTATTGAATTTTATTTTTTACATTATATATTAAATTAAAATTTCAATAAAGATATACCAAAGAAAAGAAGTCATATTCGTTATTTTTTTTATGAATTTCATTTAATGCAAATAGGTAAATATATATATACTATAACATCTTATAATATCAAGATCTTTGAATATAATTGATCCAAAATATTTTTAAATGGAAACTTTAAAGAGCTAGATCATAGTTGCTCAAAATTTTTTATAAATAAAAAATCTTCAAATTTTATGATCTTCAAAAATCTCGATCTTTAATGATCGTTGCTCGAATTTTTTTTAAATAAAAATCCTCAAATTTTAAGATCTTCCAAGATATTTTGAGCAAATGTATAACTCTACGTGGGATATTACGCATCTGATACCATCCTGTGATGCATCGTTGTTATAATACAGAGGCAATAGTAGATTTTAATTTACCCCTCCCATCCTACTAATGTATATGTTTTCCACCTACTTAGGAACCTAACTCTTACCATTAAAATAAAATCAGGTCTCTAGAGTCTAAACCGTAAATGCCACTCCAATGAACCCATTTTTATTTTATATAATAATTTCATGAAAAACAACAATATACTGACGTATGTAAACGGGTTATCTTAAAAATTTATTGAAATATACGGAGCGCGCCCGCATGCAGATCGATAGTTGGGATGGGGGAGGGATCGACTGAATTCGATTAGCTAGGAATTTTGGAAAAGGGGGCTGGGGAACCTGATTTTGCGGAGATTTGGTCATCGCACAAAAATATACAAAGACAAAAATAATAAAAGAACCATCCATAATTTTTTAAATGACTTTAAGTCCAAGATTGTTAATACTCTGCCGGCAACAACTGCCCTGCAGTTTAAGGGCGGATTTTATCCTACTTTAAAATACTAGGGAACGGATTGCTCCACAGCAGGATTAGAGTAGATTTTGCACCAACATTAATTTGAAAAATAAGGAATGGATTGCACCGCACTGCAGGATTAGTGCAGCTTTTATTTATATTTAATCTAGGGGGACGGCACGGAGTCGATCAACTGTATTTGGGGTTTCATTTTGGATCAAAAAAAGGCAAACATTATTTCTTTCATCGGAATTAACGAGTTTCTTATTTGAATCAAACAATTAATATAATTTCCGAAGTAATAATTTTTTCCGTAAAAAAGGTTAAAAATAAAATGGAAAAAATACATTACCCACACATATATACACCAAAAGTTGGTCGACGACAAATATTGTTCTCACAAACATTAATCTGGCTTCAGTTTAAAATAGATTTTGGTCGTGAGAAAAATAATAACGCTATTTTAAATAAGTTAATATAGTGGAGATAAAAAAGAATGTTAAACAATGATATACCATAACAAAAGGGATAACTAATAACAAAGAAATGGTGGGGCATCGAAATAAACTTTGCCAGACACAACATTTATATACCAACCCCTTTTGTACACTTTAATTTAAGCATGAATTCAAATGATATATCATTTATAATAACATAGTATCCTTTCACAAACACATCTATTTTCAAACTTAAAGTTTCCATAGGCGTAGCAAGGATTTTGCAAAAGTAAGGAGGAAAAGGCATTATTGATAAGATTTTTTCCCTATATATTATATAAAGTCTATAGGTCCTCTAATTGTAAGCCTTTGGTTATATTAGATTTTTATTAAATTAATTTTGGGTTTTCACTTTTTTAAAGCTTTTTTCAATGGAAATTTTAAATTTTAGTCATTATTTTAAAATTAATAATCTATACTAACTTTCAAATTCTCCTCCTTAGAGTGACATATAGTACATTTTGTAGAGAAGAAGAAATGTTGTGGGGATAACTTTTTATCAGCTTAAAATTATATTTATGAGAATAGATTTTTCGAAGGGGGATTTCCCCTTCCTACACACTTCAATCTAGTTAGCTTGGCTAATTAGGAGGTCATTTTGGAACTCTGTCTAAAATGATATATAGAAATATTTTTAAAATTTAAATTATTTGGTTTAAAGGTGTGTATTACAAAATAAATTCTTATATAACTTTTATTATGTATTAATTAATTTATAAAAAATTGCCATTAATCATTATAAATTATAATGTATATATAGATTATAATAAATAATATGTAAAAAATATTTATACTCACTTAAACGAATTTGCATTTAATGTTTTAGTAAAATAAGTCGATTTAAAAATTTTTTAAATGGCTGATCCCATACACTAGCTTTGAATTCTCTAATTTAACATCGCTGACACATGGCATATAATAAATGAATAAATACATCATCCTACAATTGAAAGATTAATGTCAACTCTAACCCCTGGTGGCGGGGGTCCTGATAAAGCACCACCATTCCTTGATAAAATTGACCCTTTCAAAAAGGCTAAACGAAAACAAAAAAAGTCTCAATCTTCATCAAGATATAATTTAAATTCATTAACGGAACTTAAGCCTTTACCTTTATTTAAAGGTAATCTATTATAATTTTAATACTTGTACCTCATATTTTAAATTATATACAAAGTATGTTAATCTTATTTATTATTTTCATATTATAGTTAAAATATGTCCCATATTTTATAATCAATTTAGTCGGTTATAAAAATATCATAATTATTTCCTATTGTTATGAGAACTCCAATAATAGTTCAATTAAATGTTGCACAGGCTCATGCAAGCCTCCTCATCTTTTGATGTGAGATCCTATAGTTTTTAATAATGAACTCTTACTATGATTTATTAAAATATTATGATTAAAAAAATCACAAGAAAGTATTGATTGACTATGACTAGTTATTTATCTTTTATTTATACTGATACTAGCTATGGACTTATTTTAAGTTTTAAAAAACAGAATTATTTTAACATGGGCTTGTTTGTTGTTTAAAACTGAAGATTTAATCCAGTCAAATTAGTCAGAAGTGTTTCTTATTAATATATATTCTATGAGTATACCATAATCTTTTTTTCCATAACATTTGATTATTCAAATACATTTATGGGAATGGTCCTATATATTTCAATGATAAAAATATATTGATTCAAGATTTTAGATGGTGTTAGAAAACTTATAAATAATCACATATATGCAAAAAACATTTATATAAATACACAAAGCTTTGTAGTGTGATACTATATTATATTTAAAAAATATTTATCTGAACATGAAATTTAAAATGAATATTACCAGCAAAGATTTTTCTGAATGAACTATAAATGTTCCCAGATGCACTGATTAATTGTGCAGATATCACTGAAGTAGCTAACATTAACAATATTTGGCAGAGATTCAAATTTTTTCTTCTGAAAAAGGATTGTAAAATTTTATTTAGCCTTTTTTTTGTGTTATCCTAATAAGAAAAGATGATAGCACAAAATAAATCAAAAAATTTAAATAAATTCGATTACCAATCAGTTAATATCATGTTATTGATATTAATAAATTCCTGCATGTCAATATCAAACAATACATCTCAGACAATAACTATATTAAATTGATTTACACTCATTTATAATTTAATAAATGATAGTGATCATCAAAAATATAAATATGCCAAATATTTACAAATAATACTTATAGTTAGTAACTTATACTTTTTTAAACAAAAATTCACATTTCTAATGTTACTGCTATAACCTTGATGATTGCCATTTATAACTTCAATTTTTAGAGTATGGATTCTTAGAGAATGTTGGAAAGAGGTCTATGTAATTATGATAATAAAATGAGAATTAGCAATATAGTTCTTTATTTTAAACAAGTAAATTAATCAAGAAATATTTTTTTAAAAAACAGACAATTTGATTTTATACAAATATATTATAATTATCCAAATTGAAAATAAAAATGTATAGGAACTGGTTTAAAGAATCGTTTTCATAATTTCTGGATCTTAATTCTTATTAATATTCATTGCAGGTCTGGTACCTGGATTTAATATCTGGTCCATCTTTAATTCCATTCAATAATATTTATATATAAAATTAAATTTCAATAACAATTTCCCTATCATTTATTTTTTAATTTTAAGTTCCTCATTTAATTTTGGCATTAAAATTTAAATATTTATTTCTTTTCTTTTGTTTTTTCCAAATTATAAATATGCAAGACGATCAAAAATAAATTAATATACAAAATTTATTAGCTGTGGGAATTAATTATTAAATATTTAATAAAAGATTAAATTAAACTTTATATTGTGAAATCTAATCCTTAAAATTTATTCAACTATATTATGGATTTGGGTACTTTTTATTAGTCGTTTTTTTGGTAGGAATGCTATGCCTTTCTCTAACAGCTGATATGATTCACAATCATATTAATTTCCTTAAGATATAATCAAATACTGTTTTTAAATTTATTTTTTATGAATGGTAGTATAATAAGATGATTATTCAATGAATCATGTTTTTTATTTGTACTACATAACGTACAAATAAATATTTAGTTTTAGCAATCTATGATTAGAAAAATAATTTTTGATAAAAAAGATCTAACGCTTTTGTTCTTGAAACATCATCTGATCTTGAATCGCGAAAAAAGTCAATTATAAATATCAATTTTTACGATTTAAATTTTATTATCTAGACTGGACTTTTATTTTTAAATAACTTAATGACTCCCGTCTCCAAATTTAATTAACCTAGTCCCTGACAAATTATATATTTATGAAATAATTATTTTAAGAAATCCACGTTCGGCAATAAAATAGTATTTTACCTCGTAAAGTATCATTTCGAACCCATAAACGTAAAGTATAAATGATCATTAAGTTAGATTTAAAATTTTAAAAGTTTGAAAAAGATTCACATTAAGTTTAAATATCCGATATTGCTGCACTCTTTGAAAATTTGATTTATTTTGTATTCCCTTTACTCCTTTAATGTCAGAAAAAATTGCTTAATTATTTTTTAAAAATTAATTCATATTATGATTACATTAATCATTAATAAATTATAACATGACAAATTTTCAAAAATATCAGGCTAGGCTTATTTTTCTTAAAACGTACATAAATAATAAATTTTTTATTTTAAAAAAGCGATTTCAATTTAAAAAATTAAATACAAATATGAACGATATCAAAATAAAAGCAAATAAGAATATTAATAATTATATAAAATATATATATAGAAATTTGTATAGAAAAACTTTAAAAAAAGGTGCATAATCCTAGAGAGTAGTGAATGCAATTGGACTGGCAGATTTCGAGAGAAATTTGCTGGCGAAGGCAGAATCTATCTTTGGGCTCTCATGTAATCTTTGTCATTTTTTTCCTATGGTTTTAATGAAATTAAGTAGAAAGAGAAAGGTTAGACTTGCTACAAAATCGACACAAGTGTAGTCCTAGGTCAACGGGAGACTGTTAGTCCAATGATGAGTGATATACCACTCGGGCATATACCGTTTTCATTTGAAAGTTCCACTGGTTCAAAGGTGTATGGGATATTAACTTTTTGAGGGCAGCTAGGAGAAGGTTGTTAATGGATTTATGGTGGGTTGCCGTCCGCATGCATTGCAAGGGATGACAGGTATTCGATTCGATGGGCTGGTCACAATCGATTTGGCGACTAGTTTCAGATCGTTACCTTGCCTTGGTATCTACCCAGTATCAGTGTTAGCTATCTCTATTTCTGATTTACCTCTCTCTCTCTCTACTCCGAGCCTCCCCACCCCCATTGATTGGAGAATAGTTATGTGATCGCATTATCATAAGATATGGATGAAAATAAACTTAATTAATTCGCTGCTCAAAATCTCAATTAAAACTAGTTTTCTTCGATTTTCTCTATTTGTGTGTTCCTTTATTACAAATTAATTACAATGTTTGATAACGAAATTTCGAGTTTATCAAAGAAAAAATTTATTTCCCATTTTAAGTCATATACATAAATCCCCTGTTTTTTTAGATTTTAATTTAAAACAAATTCTTCCATGTTATTTTTTTGTTTATGGATTTTAAAATGAACCTTTTTTCCGAATGCACTAAATATCAGCTTTGTCATTAATTTTCAAATTATTATCATAAAAACATGACATTTTAAATTTATCAATTTTATACTACTTTTATAAAAACTTTTTAATGATTTACGATTATTATTCATATTATTTATTTTACAGTAAAATAGAATATCAAATAAGGAGGACTAAATAAACTCCATAAACCAATTTTTAAACCTCTTATCTAAGCTATAACTAAATTGTAAATACTAACAAATCTTGAGAAATTTTTATGCTTATCACTTTTTTACACCTTTTATTCGATTGATAATGCTGATTATTCTTTCCTAAATTAATAATAATTACCTCTAATAAAGACTATGCAAATTTTTCACCTAGGACCCGACTGCGGCTACATGACAATTTTTTTAGATCTAGACCTGGCCCTTTGCGGCCCCAGAATTTTTTTTAAAAAGATTATCGAAATGCAAAATATTTCTTTTCTCTTATAAATTTAATATTGTTAATCTATTCATTATAATAAGATGGAAATAAGTAGTAAAAATTTCTCACCCCCTTATATATCTTAAACTTTGTTTAAATATTAAAATTCATTTTATAATATGATATTCAATCAGGCAAGGGAGAATAAGAAGGAATTTTATAAGATTTTTCGGGTTACGGGCTGGGGTTACATTTTATTGTTTTTATTTACGCGGGCTAAGCGGGCCGGCTTTGTAGTGGCTCTAATCTATTATAATGCCAAAAATTAACTTTATAATTATTAGGGCTGTGTCGATTCACAAATTTTTCACCTACCCGATATTTCCCAATGTTACAACCCGATCTGATTATATTGATTTTTATTTACCATCTATCCTTGAACGAATGTCATAAAAATATTAAATTTGTTTTTTATTCTCTAAAGGTTAATAATCACATTTAAAAGATATGAGCAATGTTTATGGTTAAATGCAGTGTTGTTAAACGCCTTGATTTAGCCGATTTGTAAAAACGGCTAAATCAAGATTTTAGACAAAATATAGTTACCCATGCCTCAAAATTTTGCCAATAGATGTCCAAACTTTTCTATCTTCGCGGGTAAAATCACAAAGATTAGGTTTTGGATAATATCTTAATTTAGCCATTTTTTTAATTGGCGAAACGAGCCGTTTAACAACATTAGTTAAATATATGAACGCTAGATAACTTAAAATACTTTTCTTGTTGTAAATAATATAACAATACTTTTCTTGTTGTAAATAATATAACAATATTTTTCTTTTAAAATAATCCGATTTTTCACAACAAATACCTTTTATTAATTTATTATTATGAAATTAATTATAAAAAAATAATTTATGATCGGTTTTGAAAAGTTGGATCCGATAAAAACACGAAATATCTGGCCCAATCCGATATTTTATAATAAAAGTTTTAAACATAGGGATTTTTAAATAATTTTTTTATAGCAACTTATTTATCTTTACTTTATTCATATAAAAGAGGACATATTTTTATTTAAATATTTGAAGAAGTAAATTTTAAACATTTTACGAATATAAAAAAAATTTACAATTTGAAAAGATATCCCTCATAAAATATAAAGGAAATTTTAATTACACGAGTTACAAGCGTAGTTATGGACAGTGCATAAAACTTATTGAAGATATGGAATATTTTAGTTGATTTAGTAACTATTTTAACTTATTAATGTACATCTAACTTAATTTGGAAGTAAATGTAACAGAACAAATATTATATATTATACTCTATTAAGAGGTTGAGCCTAGATTATAAGATACTAACATATAGTATCTATGCATGTGAAGAAACCCAGCAAAAATATTTTACTAATTATAAATATCAGCCTTAATAAAAGGATCTTTTTAATGCTAATTTCTTTGAAATCATTAAATGTATTGCAATCATCAGGCATATTAGTTTGCTTCTAACAATTATTGTCATATCTGGTATTAATTAAATACTGAATCGTAAAGGTTTAGTAAAAGATACTGTTTTCGCCTTATATATTAAATAATGTCTGTTGTAGATTTTATAAATTTACAACTTTTTTAGTTTTACTATAATTAAAAAACTATACTGTCAAACATTTTATTTCGGCAATTTGATTGGTAGTATTTAATTTTATTATATATTTTTTTTGAAAAATATATTGCACTCTTGGTAGTTTTTATATTTTTTTATTCAATTAATTTATACATTCCGATATATGATATTTCGACATTTGGTTCCTATATATACAATTGATCTATATACTACAATGTATATGTATATTTAATATCTGGACATTTGGTTCCAAATACAGAATTATCAAAAATTAATAAATATATTTTTTGCAGTCTAGAATCTTGAGTTGAGGAGCACCTAAAATAGAACTTTTGTTGGCGATAATAAAGAAATAATTTAATCTTTAATCAACTCTTAAATTAAAATAGTTTTCTTAATAAATATTTTAAATGATAAATCTTATATATTTTATTTGTTGAAATATACATATAAAAAATAATAGTAAAAATAAAATTGATTTAAATCAATAATTTAAAAGATCACCAAATCTATTTAAATTATGGATTTATTTAAAAAAATCGCTAAATTGATTTGTATTTTGCACCCTTTTTAGACACTCCTCAGACTGAGCACCAAGACCTTTTCGTGAAGAAGCTACAGCAATGCTGCGTGATATTTGATTTCATGGATCCAATGTCCGACCTGAAAAGTAAAGAGGTCAAGCGGGCCTGCCTCAATGAACTCATCGATTACGTCACTAACAGTAGAGGTATCTTGTCCGAGCCCGTCTACCAGGAAGTCATACGCATGGTAAAATTTAATAATTTGAATGTGCAAGATTTAAATTTAACTTCAAAAAGAAGTATTTATCTTATTTGGTAAAGGGATTTTGGCGTAGGTGAAGAATCATTTTTTTTACATGAAACTTTTATATTCATAACAGAATTCTAGATTTCAAAGTTCTCCAATTTTTTTTGATTTTACGTAAGATATTAAGTATAATCTCAACATTTAGGCATTTTAGATTAAATTGAATTCTATGGACTGTCTTTTCCATCCAAATATGGTTAGATGGGCAGTTTTAAAAAATGATTTATATTATATGATATGGTTTGAGGATCAATGCCATTTAAATACGGTCCAAGGTTTTACCGACATTTTTATTTTTATCTCCATTCCGCTAAATATATTTCAAAACAATTTCAATAGCTTATATTTTTATTTTTCCCTCTTTTTTTCTAGTGTCGAAAAAACGATTAGTATAATTTCAAAAAAATGGAGAAAAGGAAGTCAATCTTTTTTATCCACCAAGAAAATAATTTTTTAAAAAAAATATTGGTAGTATTTTTAAAAAATTAGAAACATTTTTTTTAAAAATGATTTTATCGATTTTTTTAAATAAAAAGAGGTCTCATTTGTAAATATCATTTTATGCGCATTTTTTTGTTACTTTGTATCTTTTTTTTTCGAACGAGAATTTTTCCTTTAAGACACCGTTAGAATTTTTAATAACTTAAATATCTTAAGCTCATTCGTACTTAATATAAATAGAGTTGGATTATACGTGAAGCGTTTTATAAGGCTATGGAATATGGTAGACTGTTGGGGGCTAATTGGCACCAATTGGAAAAGACACGATATTCTAGAATGGGCTTGAGATTAATTAGAATTGTAGACCCTTTTCGGGGTTCAAATTTGAAATAATTGTTTTTTAAATATTTTTTAAACAGAAATTTTGACGGGGGTTTCAGACCCATTTTGAAAAATAGGTATTATATGTGTAGACAAAATTCGCACAAAAGTGAATATTCTCAAATCGGACGGCCTGTTAATTTTCTCTATTTGCTAAGTCCGCCAATTAGTTTTACTTTCGATAAATTCATTTTTACCTGGTTCAATATCATCTATTATTATAATTTATAAATATTACTCAATTCAATTTGTCATAAATTATAAATGAACTTTATATAAAAAACGAATCTGCTATTCAAGGTTATATGGTAACTTGCAAGAAATAATATAATTAAAAATATTACAAAAAAAGGTATATTATATGGAATTATATAAAAATTTGCTTTAAATTTCAAATCATAAATTGATAGGATTCATGCTGACTGATATTCTGTTTAAAGTTTAATAGTTAATAATGCTATTTTAATTAGAAAATGAAGTTATTATTTTTAGTTTTGTATCAAAGTCATCTTAATTTAAAAAAAACCCCAGATTATAATTGTATTATTTAAATTAGAGACCTAACGTAACGAAAATATTGATTTTCACAGCTATCCCTACCCCAGGGCTGATTTTTTTTTATAAAATTAGGGTATTATTTGGCTATATTTTGTAATTAATTTTAAAGAAAAATCGAAAATATAAAAATCAAATCAAATCAATGCTTAAATAATCTCTCGTTAGATTTTTCCTAAACGGTTTTAAAAATATCACTCGGGTTATTATTTTTGAGGCTTGGGATTTTTAAACTATACTATTTAGATATTTTAAAATTGATGGAAATAAAAAAAAAAATTGTTTTTGGATATTCGGAAAAATTTTGCATTTCTTCCAAGCCTATAGTAAAAATAAAATAATCTTATATAACCCTTAATAGCCCAGTTGAAAAAAATAACGCCACTTTTTTCACCTTCCGAATTAGTTCACTAAAGTCATTCTATGTCAAATCAAACACCTTTCATCCTATTTTCAATTTCTATAAAAATTTATAGGCACCTTATATATGTTTATTAATTTAAAACAAACATGCAGGCCCGGCCCTAAGCCCTACCCATATTTTTTAAATATACTTGGGCCAAGCCTGAAATTTAAAAAAATACCCCTGCCCCGTATATTTTAAAACCAAATATTTAAAATCGCAATTATTAGCTATAAAAATCAAAAATAAATATAGTACATTTTAAATAACCGGGCCGGGCCTGAAAATATAAAACTCGTGCCTGGCCGAAAAAAGGGTACCTTTGCAGATCACTGTTTTAAAAATAATATATTTAAAGTATATATTTTTATTTTATTTATATTATATATTAAAGATTGATGCAATAAAAATCATTTTTGAAATTTATGGATGTCAAAATATAATTAGCCATTTTTCGTACTTTTCAGAGGGAAATCTGCTAAAGTATAGGGGCCACTAATAAGGATCATTATCATCCAAATTTAAAATATCCGATGTAAATGATATCGATTAAGAGCATTTCTTATTCGATATCAATTATTCTTCAAAATTCGTTGTTTTGATCGTAAAGTAACTATAATTTCTCTCACTTTTTAATGAGATTTTTTATTCCATCTACTTACTGTCACTATGTAATCCATGCATTAAACATAAATGATTGTCATATTCTCCTGAACAAACACTTTTCTTTATATTGGGTCCTTCATCCATAAACATTTGAATTCTCTTTGACTCCAAATTGTTCATTTTCAACTTTATTTATCTCGGAAAAATTAGTTTCGGCGGTATATTTTTGAGTGGCATGATACGTAGCCAATGTATAAAATGCGTTATTAAAACTATTATCTACTTCGTGAAATGTAAAGGTAACATAATTTTTCAGTCTATCGCATTTCAAAAGTTATAGCAACAAATAAAATCTCATTTTAAAATGTATTTTATATTATTTATTCATTAATAATAAATAATTTGTATCACGCCGCCGAATTTTTCCATCGGCGGCGGAGTGTCAGCGCCGACACTTTTTGGCGGCGGTATAGGCATGTTCAAAAATCATAGGTAGCGGCATATTTTAGCGGCGGCGCACAGGTTTGAGTGTAGGTAATAATATTTTATTAATACGCAATATAATAGAAATACGTTGCTTATTTTCCTTTATACCAATTTTAAAAACTGAAATATCAGGAATTTTGTAGGAGACGCATAACCAAGGGTGTTTCCAGTCTCTAATTTGCAAGTTCTCGTAAATATCATTTTAAGTTAATAAAAAAAGCTTAGTAACTTAGGTAAAATAAATTTTTTATATTCTCTATTAATTGAGTTGAAATTCATTTTCTTATGATATAAACAAGTTTTTAAATTTAAATAGATATCAGGGTTAGCAAGTTGTTCAATTGGCTGGTCAAATTCAGTCAATTGACCGTAGGTGACCTGGTCAGCGGCCAAATACCATAAAAATCTGAAGAAAAGAAATTAAAAATATGTTTGAAAAAAAGAAAAACGATACTATGCTCCTTATTTTTAGTAGACTTGAGGAAATGATAAAATAATCACATTAATTTAAAAGAAAAAAATTTAATAATGTGAAACAATCAATTTTATTTATTTCATTATTTTATTACATTACATAGTTTAATTACAATATCCCCAATATAATAATGTCACTTTCAATATTTATAATAAATACCATAGCATAATAATAAAAATTTTATCCAAAATATGTTTGTAAATGATTAAAAAAGATGTTTACATATAGCATAAAAATACCTCATGATATTTCATTTTTAAGTGAGTAAATAATTTATTTTGATATAGAATGTCATTTGTGCAATATAATTTTGATTAGTATAATATGTTTGCAATACCTCTATTATTTTTATGCAATTCATTAAATAGCATATTGCAAATTTGGTTGTTGCGCTGATGTACTATCTTTTCCTTAATTTGTCTCATTATATATACTATCATTTAGGATTTTACAGATAAAAAATTAATAACGTTCAACGTTTATATATCATTTTCCGTAACAAGATGTAAAATGAATATTTTTTTATTGTTTCCGAAATATTAATATAGACATGATTCTAATAAATATATAAATTTGTATAAAAATTTATTATGATTTTATATATATCAGGATCAAATAATAATTAAAAAAATCGTAATTAAATGTTTACTTGGTACTATTCAATAACATCAATTTGCTTCACTGGCAAATGGACTTATTTTATACTTAAACCTTTATATGTAGATATTGTTTTATTAAGCCTTTAGATTTTAGAATGATATTTATGATATAATAATTTTATATATTTAAATAAGTTTTAAAACAATTAATGCCAACTTGCGGATTGAATATTATTAAATTATATTTTTTTAATTTTAAAATTACATAAAAATATTAAAACTATGTATTAATAGACCAAAAGAATTAATAGAAATTAATTTCACTTTAATTATTTCAACTTTATAAAAATTATCTTTAATGTTCTTGATTTTTCAATTCCAGTTTTAAATGAAATAATATATTTCCTTTTTTCACTTTTTAATTCCGAAATAATTTTTCAAAAAATAACAAATTATTATAATACATAATTTAATTTTTATCCAGTTGTTTGTTTTAAATTTATATATGTGTGTTATATTTTTATAATCATTAATTTTTTTTTCATGTTGTTTTTAAATTCGTTATAGACCTGCAAAGGTACCATTTTCACGGCCTGGCCATTTTTATTTTCAAAAATTTTTCTCGGCCCATCCTGTTTTATATTTTCAGGCCCTGTTTGGCCCTTAGGTTTAAATTATACGGCATGGCTCTGGTATTTTTTAAAAAACAAGCCCGGCCCAGGTATATTTTAGAAAATTAAAATGCGGCCCGTTAGCCAGGCCGTGCCTGTAGGTCCCTGATATATATTTAGATATATCTGAAAAATATTTTACTTTTTTATTACGAACTCTTTGTCAACAGTTTTTATCACCAATATATTATATTAATTTTTAAGTCTTAACTAAATGTGCGCTTTTTCCAAAAAATAAACGTAAATTTTATATAAAAAAAATTTAACAAGCTAACATAAGATTTATATTTTATTACATATCACTTCTAACCTCATACTGGTTTGCTTAGAATAAAATAATATATTCTTAATTTATAATATTAATTATTAATGTAATATATCATTTATAATTAAAGCCAATAATATTTGTATTAATCCATCTTATTTCATTAATAAATTGATTTCTTATTTAGAATAAACCAACCCCATTCATTGATCAACTTTAAATTATAAATAAAATAACAACTCATTTAAATATAATTCATTGCTCAAGCCTTTAAAAAAATAATTATAGGTGTCTATTTATATTTGTCTTAGTAAAGAATACAATATATATATATATATTCCTAAAAGCCTAAAACAGAGGGAAATCATCTTTTACCTATTTTTTTATTAGTTATATTATATTTACCTAAAATAGTTTTAAAAAAACATAATAATTAGAATTATTGATCTATAATTAAAATTATTAAATGTCAAATTTATGCTATTTTAATTGAAGTGAACAATAATATTGCTACAAATTTTATGGAGGAAGAAGTAAATATAGAAAGAAAAATGATTAAGATAAACGCGACCAAAGGCCGTTAACGGTGGGTCTGGATGCCAAGCTCCCTAAGTTTTTGTAGGGACCCCCCCCCAAGATAATTCCTAGTAGCATTTTCGAAAATCTGCATCGAAATGGCCTAAAATTTCACGTAATCACATTTTTAAATATAACTTGCGTTGCTCATATATTCTGGGTTTTTGTAATTGAATCCTTTATTGAGAATCGGAATCGATATTACAAGCTTATTGGACTGAATTAATTAAAGTTTCTACAATAATATAAAATATAACATGTTATTTACATAATAATAAAGACGCCTGTATATAAATTGGCAAGTTTAAAAGGATAAAAAAAACAAAAATAGATTTATTTCAAAAATAATTTAAAATATATTAATATGCAATGACGGATAACATTAGAAATGCAAATAAGACAATAAGATATCTAAAGTTAATATTTTGTCGAGAAATTATTTACGATCTAGTAGGACCAGCCACTAATTGGCTAATCTAAAAAAATAAGGGTTTGAGATGCGGTCATTTTAAAATCATGAAGAGGGTGGTAGGTCTCAGGTTACTCGAATTTAGAAAAAACCTAGATGAGGTATCCGGAAAAGTGTCAGCTAATGTTCATTCATACCGAAATCCAGATATAGTTAAGTCTAAATTGAATAGAACATTTGCTTAAAGAACCCTCTTGAAACTTTACAAATATAGTGTAATTCTAGAAATATTTATTTTAAAAAACGAACATAGCCTTCTTTAAATGGAGGCTATATTGAAAATTTAAATAACTTTATTTGCTATTTTATAAATATAAAATTTGTCGTAACATTAGCATCGCTCCAATCTGAACAATATTATTTAAAATTCATTATTTGCGATTCAACACACCATCAAAATCGCACAATTTGGGTGCCCTATTACTATAAAAATAGAAAGAATAGATAGAATTACAAAAAAGCGAGATGTAAAAGGACTTCTTACGTATATTTTTAAAATTGAATTTGCAAATTTGTCTTCTTTTGTGAAGGCGATATCGTAACCATCTTTAATTGAAACCCCATAAGGTATGTCTCTTAGCCTTTCCATTTTCTTTGAATTAATCTTATGATTTTAAGCAATTTCTTCTCTTTCTCGACCTAATTTTGCTAAACATTTGCACCTCACCATTTTTTGAGAATTTTGCACTTCGTCATTCAAAAAAAAAATTTTTTTTACTCACTACGTTGAATAAAAGGCATATTATTTTTTGAGTATATCGCCAACTTAAACCGTTCCAAATTCCTCTCAATACAACAAGTTACTCATTATACCACTCTTCATTCTCCCTAGCTAAATGAAAAATTTAATTTTTTTTAAACAATATCATTATTTTTGTTGAATATTTATCTATTCTACTACATATTGTCATATATGTTGTAGTAGATTGATCTATCTTTAAAACTTGATAGACTCTTCCTCTCACCCCCTTTTAATTTTATAAAGGCCTAATTTGGAATATGCATTATAATTTGCAAACAATTTTGCAATGACCTTTTGAATTACTCTAAATTTTGAAAAAAACTCAAAAGTTTATAGCGAAATCATCTGATTTTAGGTTACTCTATATACTTGAATACAATTTCGGCCATATCAAGTCTTCGAAATTTAAAAGGATTTGCTTTATTATTTTAAGGTTTAATGCTGTGTCCTGGTTAGGCTTATTTCATTTCCGAATGGCTGGCTGTTTGACCGGCTTTATAGCTTCGACTAAACAGTCTAAAAAGATAGAGAGAGGAAAACAATGCCAGTAAACTGTTAAAATAAACCAAAAAGTGTCAGTTTAAAAGCTGTTAGGCTAAACAGCAATAAGTATCAAGATTGAGTCGAACTAGGACATAGCCTAAATATTGCTAAAAAAACGCAGATCAATGAAGTATGCAGCATTCATCAAACCTCTACGACTTATATATTATATACCTTTTATAAAAATCGATTTATTTTTAATTGGTTTATAATAATTATACTCGTTTTAACTTTCGATTTAATGTTCGTGACAATTTTTATGAAATTATATTTATAATTAAAATACTTTTGTAAAAAATAATAATAATTTTGCTATGAAAATTTTGAAAAATATTTTGTTGATTAATTTTTTATTTTACCTTTTTTTCGATCATAGGATCATTTTATGATCTACATCGATAAACTTGAAAAATGAGGAAAAAGGGTATATTATTGATAAAAGGATTTCAAAAAGATTGGGCATAAAACTCAAAAAAATTTTTAGCTCCCAAATCTATTTTTTTAAATTCCAAGTTTTAAGAGCTATTGGAATTAAAATTTTTTTAGGTTGCGTCTAAAACGTCATAAATTTCTAAAACTTTACTAAAAAACACGAGCCTTTAATAGAAAAATTTAAATATAGCCAAAACATATTTGGGAAATTTTAAAAACTTTATCATTAGGCTTCCGTTTTTTTTAAACTTTTGAAACAGGTATTGGACTTATCCTTAACAAACATGGATAAAATTTTCATAGTAAAAGTAAACAATATTTTACTCTTAAAATCTCTTAATGTCCATCATTTTATTAAATTTATAGTTTTGTATCTTATTATTATATTTAATGAAATAGAAGTTATATACAAAATAAAATTAATGTTAAACGTGACTATTATATTATGTTAGAAAATTTAAGATATTTATTTAATATTAAATGAATTTTAAATAAAAATAATTATTCCATAAAGTTTTGAACGAACATGTACGCGTTCTTTCTTTGAAGTGGAACCTTGAAAGCGAGTGCGTTCGATTTTTGTCAATGAACGCTGAATGCTATCGATTTTTTAAGAAATATTTTCAGCACTAGAATTTATATTATTTGCAGATTTAGTATTTTAGTTAGACATCTATCAAATACAGCGAAATTAACTTATTATAATTTATTTTCAAATTTATCAATCAAAATATTAGCAAAAATACAATAGCTTATATTTTATGTATAAATTATTTGGCCGCGTCCGAGGATTTTTTATACACAATTTGCCCTTAAATTTTTGCTCGGTCCGTTATTAAAGTGCTGGAGATAAATCCCCCTGATATAATTACCACGAACAAAAATTTCAATTTTCAGATCTCTAATCAAAATAGTTAGTTTTCATTTATTCAAATAATGCCCAAATATTTATTTTAAAGAATAGTAAATAATGTTTAATATATGAAATATTTGAATCAATATCGTAAAATTATTAGACATAGGAAATTTTTTTAATTTAACTTTACTCAAAATAACTTTCAAAGAATCAAACCATCTTAATTTAAAATAAGGGTAAAATCTGATGCCAAAAATGTTATATTTATTATTAATTATAGAAAGCGTTTAGGGGGTTAATCTAGTAAGCAAGTTATTTGCACATTAAAATTTATATTGTTTTTCACATGGCTATTATTTTTTGAATTGTATTCTCTAATTCTTCTAATAATTCAACAAAAATCATTCCGCCCATCAACTTCTTTAATTTGTCAAAGCCATTCGTTATAAATTTTAAAACTTTACACTAACATTATTCAATTTCACCTCAGGTTCAGAGCACGTAATTTATCTTTATATGAACCTCGCAGCTGCTCATAAAATCCTGTTATATTTTAGATACAAGTATTAGCGGTATTCCCCCTTCCTCCGCCCATTCTGATTATTATTCTTTGCTAAATGATAGCAGGGCTGTATAATGTAAACATTACATATTTCGCGCTTTACTATAGAATATTGATTGAATAAAGTTTTAGATAATTTTTATAAACATTTTTTAAAAATAATAATAAAAACAAATTACTATCTCTAGATTGAAGTTAATATCTTTCGCACTTTACCACCTACCGAGAATCAAGATTACGATCCGGACGAGGACGACCCTGCCCAGGAAGCCTCATGGCCACACATTCAAGTAAAATTTTTGATAGATTTCTTAATCGTTACATGCTAATTGCTTGAATTTATTCGAATTATAGATTTAAGACCTCAGTTTATACGTCGCACTAATTATTTGATTATTAGTTTTTTAAAATTATTTGCGATTATTCTCAACTGTCGATCGCAATCTTCATTAAACTATATTGATATGTATTTTTAAATTTGAAATAATGAAATCTTGATTTGGTGGTAGGCTTCAGTGGGTATGATTATTTTGAAGGTCAGTGGTCCTTGTTGGACTAGGATAGCGGGACCGGATTATTTTTCGGTCCGATCTTTTTCCTTAAATATTTGATACCTATTAAATTGAATATAAAAAATAATGAAATATTTTTCTTCTAAGAAGTCTTCTAAAACCTCAATTTTCTTCAAATTATTGTGGAATAAGGGAGCTTTAAACGGTTATCTTATTGTACCATCACAGAGGGTTCTTGTATATTTTGATATACTTGACTATGTTGTTAAAAACCCCGATTTAATCTATTTTTAAAAACGAAATCAAGATTTTATTTAAAAAATATTACCTAATTCTCAAAATTTCACTTAAAGATGGCAGAAAGGTTTAGCGCATTTTTAGTAAAATCTCGAAACTTGGATAATATATTTTTTTTAGCTAAAATCCTTCTAGACACGTGAGAATATTTTTTTGACAATTCTAGTCCATGGTGACTGGGGCGTTAAGACTGATTTAGCCTTGATTTAACTCAATATTTTATCCAGAAAAATTTTACGCAAGCTCGAGTTTTTGCTCATATATGGCACAAATGTTTGGACACATTTTAGCGAGATCTCGGGCTCTGGAAATATTTTTTTGTCTAAAATATTGAGTTAGCCATTTTTAAAAATCGTCAATTGAGCCATTTAACAACACTATCTTGAATATAAAAAGCATTTAAAAAATCACCTTTTTATATCATTCATCCCCATTAGTTGGTTTACGATTTTTTCCTTCGATTTCTCGAATCTCCGGACTTTCAACCCACGATCGGCAAAAAATATATCGACCAAAAATTTGTTATGAAGGTTAGATAATGAAACGTTTTACATTTTCACAAAAATAATTTTAATATTTTTTTATATTCCTTTAAATATTGATGATATTTGATAATAATAATTTTATACGATAATTTTTTTTATTTGAATTTTGAAAAAGAATTATTTTTTGAAAAACCAATAATTTAAGTAATAACTATTTTTTTGTAGAAATATAATATTTATAAAGTTAATATAACAAAATGTTAATTTAATTATTAAAAAATAATTTTTTTTGTGATTATAGCTTGATGGGTTGTAAATAGATTAACCAATTTATAAGTTTCTAAATTTTATTTTATATTAAAAAAATGTAATTTGGATGTTTTCCCAAACGTCGTGTAAGGTTTGATTCTACTACAGTACTCGAAATTTCGTTCTGGGTTCCATATTGAAAATGTAAAAATTAGGGGTTGCTTTCATTTACAACTATAAATCTTTTAAACGATCGATTTATTGGTATTTATATTTTTTAATCAAATAAATTTTTTTTGTTAGCTTATGGATTTGTTCGACAGCGAAGATCCTAGAGAAAGAGACTGCCTAAAAACAGTCCTGCACCGGATATACGGGAAATTTTTAGGACTGCGAGCCTTCATTCGCAAACAGATTAACAACATATTTCTTAGGTCTCGAATCGTATAACATTTTATTAGTTTCAATTTTTTTTTTATTATACATCATAATTTCTATTCCCTTTATCAGAAAATAAGTGTGCAATTGATTTGACATAGTTTGACGAAGAATAAAAATTATCGCTTTATTGATTTAATCACTATATTTGATATTAAATCAAACAGGGATTCACCCCTACCTCACCTAATGTTTTTTCCCTTAAATTTAAAATAATCTCTGGTCACTTGAAAGTTTTTTCTTTTCCAATTTCTTACCAAAACTACTTGATATTTTAACAAAATCAAAGATTGGACTAATGTCTTATAACGTTTAACGAGACTGATGATTAATTTATTAAAATGCATTTTGAGGCGTTGTTCAATACAAATCAGCTGGTGACACGTCATTTTGGTTCCCCATTAATATTTTTATTTATAAAATTCTAATGTAAATTGTTTATACGGGAGACTAAAATGGCGTGTCACCAGAAGATTTTTATTAATACAATTTAAATGAATGAATCATCAATTTATGTATTATATGCCATTATTGGACCGAACATTAATCTAAAGTTATAAAGCTCTTTAAGGATTGGTCTTGTGTATATTTATTATATTTAACTTATACTTATGCTTAAAATTAAGATTTTTTTAAAAAATGTATTTCTCAAAATTCAACTTTAAGTATAAATAAATTTTTAGTTTTTTCTGTGTTCAAACAATATTAAAATATGAATAGCAAAAATATACCCTTTTAAAAAATTCCGAAGAGTTATGGTTTTGAAATCAATTTATTTGGTTTTTAAATTTGAATTCTATATAAATGATCAATCCTTTGAGACCCGGGCCTGGTTTGGCCATAAAGGATTTTAAAAAAATTAAAACTCAAACTGGGCTGGGGAAATAATTTTTATTGCAAATTCAGGCCACGTTTTTATTTACTTCTTAATATTTTTATAGGTTTATATATGAAACGGAGAAATTCAATGGGATATCCGAGCTCTTAGAAATTTTAGGCAGGTATAGCGTTTGATTATCCTAATATGATATATTAATATTTTTATTAAATGAGATTTATCTAAGTCTGGAATTTAGTCTTGCAAAATCGCTCTATAATCCGGTTTTGAATATCTATTGTATAAAATGGCAAAGGCGATTTTTTAGCCTAGAAAATAGGTCAGTTATGAGGAAAACGGAAAAAATTAAGTTCGCCTCAAAGCTTAAAATTTTTTCAGCAAACGATTTTACAACACTACTTCTCTTCTAGGACTTATTAAATGATAAGTTCAAAGTAGGGTTGCAATATTTAAATTGGTGAAAAAAATTCTAGTTCTTGTCCTACAATAGATTATATAAAATAACTAACAAGTGAATAGTTAATGTTGTATTATTAATTTATTATTATCTGGATTTATATAATTTTTTTTATAGTATCATCAATGGATTTGCCCAACCCTTAAAAACCGAACACAAACAATTTTTGAGCAAAATTCTTATTCCTTTACATAAGACTAGACCACTGGCTATGTTTCACCCTCAAGTTAATTCATACATAAATAAATTCATATATTCTTGAAAGTAAATTTTTTTTTAATCATACCTCTTATTATTTTTGACATAAACCATTCTTATTGTTAATTATAATTTAATATCAAGTCAATTGCCAAAAAAAATATGTTATAAAAGGGATCCTTTTAAAATCATTTAACTAATTGCAAATATATTATTGAATATAAATTTAGGTAGCTTATTGTGTTGTTCAGTTTCTCGAAAAGGATCCAACTTTGACAGAAACGGTAATCTAAATTATAAAAATAATACGTTTAAGAAATTATTTTGCTTTTTATTAATTCCAATTTTACTTTTATTTCATTATAGGTAGTTAAAGGATTGCTTAAATATTGGCCAAAAACATCTAGCCAAAAGGAGGTTTGATTGTTTTATTAATGATATAGTGGTAAAATAAAAGTTTCTGTAAAATATAAAAGGATAAAATAATCATTTACGCTATTATAAAGTACCATCCCTGGTTAAGGTGAAAATTATCATAATGAATCTCATAGTGTAGCATGTCAATTTAATTTTTTTAAAGAAATATCATTAAATGGAGAAATTTCTATAAGTAAAAATTTTATAGGAAAATAAAAATGTTTGTAAAATATTATAGTTTATATAATTTTAATTTTTGTAATTAACATCCGAAAATAAGGTAATGTTTTTGGGCGAATTGGAAGAAATCCTTGGCGTAATAGAACCAGTGCAATTTCCCAAAATTGAAGTTCCCTTATTCAAACAAATAGCCAAATGTATAGCCAGTCCGCATTTTCAAGTTTAAATTTATTAAAAATTCTATAATAGCCAGGAAGCTTAATAACAGAATCATTGTTAAATTATAAGATTTATGATATTCAAGATCACAATTTTTTAAAAAAAACTATTGTTCACAGTTTGAACATTTTTAATAATGTTGCTAATAAATCATTTATTAAAGAATTTTAAAATTATAAAGCTGATAATTAATTTTTTAAATTGTAAAGCTGATAACTAATTTTACAAATGTAAAGCCTATTACGTATTTTTTAATTATATAAAATATATTTGAGATTTGCTAAAATAGGCCAAAGCTTATTTTTTTTTAAAAAATTGGTTTGGGCAGTCAGGGCTAATATTTTTAAGAATAATATGAGCTGGGTCGGATTTGAAATAATATACTATATATAAAAATTAATTTCTATATTAAAAGAAATTTAGACTGTGCATAATAAATAATTTAATTTCGGGTCGAAATATGGGTGGGCTGTACAAATTTCTTTTAAATAATATTTGGGGTCAGGCTTGAAAAATTTGGTCCGATGATGCTCATAGCTAAAATATATATCAAACCTAAATGATTTTTTTAAAATAATCTGATTACTATTTAGGTAGCTGAACGAGCCCTCATGATGTGGAACGATGACTACATCCTGAGTCTGATCGAGGAAAACAATCAAACCATTATGCCCATTATGTTCCCCAGCCTGTATCGTATCTCCAAGGAGCACTGGAACCAAAATATAGTTGGCATGGTTTTCAATGTGCTCAAAAATTTTATGGATATGAATAGCACCCTCTTTGATACACTAACTACCAATTACAAGAATGAGCGGAACAAGTATATGAATGTTCTATATTCATTTTTATTGAAGAAAAAAACTCTGAATTATTAAATTTGACTTTAAAGTTTCAGGATACCCCAGGTTCGTATCAGACGCGTAACCAAGGGGAGTGAAATCCCCCCATTGAAAATTTGCCTGTTCTTGTGTAAATATCATTTCAAGCTTATATAAAAATTCTCCCCCACCCCTACACTCTCCACCTTCCCCTCTCCTTATATAATACAACATATCACTATAAAAAAAAATTTGAGATAAAAATTAGTAAAAGTTAATACATTTTTAAACGACGGCACTCATTCAAAATTTTTAGGAAAAAAACATTTCAAAATTTTTTAAAAAAATGATAATCCAAAATTATTTTTATAAAAATCCAATATAAGACCTAAATATTTACAATAAAATTTATGGGGGGAAAACCCGCCTAATAGTGTCCCCCCTCCTAGCAAATTCATGGATATGCCTATGGTTCGGATTAATGATAATGTGTATAAACCTTTTATTGCTAATTATAGGTAAAAAAAGTGAATGGGAAAAGAAAAATAAAAAAATATATATCTTTAATTTTTTACCAATAACTTTTAGCAATAAAAGGTAACGCGTATATTTTTACATATTATTTTTCATTAATGCAAGCATAAAAATATATATACTTTAAATTTCACAATTTTTTGAGTTTATTCTTTTCATAAATGTTGGAAATATTGAAACTTTTATTAAGGATATTATGCAATATTTCATAAATACTTGATAGGTAGGTCGCTTTGTGTAATTATCTTTTAAGAAAATTTGTTATTTCATTTTTTCCCTTTTTCAATAAATTTGTATCCCCCCTTGATATATATTTGCTTAAGAGAAAAGCAGAAGGAAAAGGAACGCGAAGAAACTTGGCAGAAGTTGGAGGCCTTAAGCATAGATACCGACCATCATAATGCCCGAAACGTTCGTAATCCATCCGCACATCATCCTCTTACACCTTTAAATCCTAATGACCCCCATGCAACCAACATAAATTCTTCCACTATAAATCCAACTAATGTCACAAACGTTGGTAGGTCATATTTATAAAAGAAATTTATTATAGTTGTTAATTTTTTTAACATATAAAAATTTATAAATAGCCATGTTTTAAGTAGAGCTCTGTATAAGACACCTATTTTTCCAGGTCCAGCCCGATTCAATTTTCTAATCTAAGTCCGAACTCAAAAAGGTGAAGTTATAGGAAATTGAATCTAGGGAAAAGTATTATTTTTCAAATAAACAGTAAGAAATAAACAAAAATTCCCATTTTTCTTGAAATATATATTTTTTGAGCATTAGGAAAATAAAATAATTAATCCTCTGACTGATGCTAAGTTCGGTTTGAGTGGACTCATAATGGTCCACACAGGATCTAATATGTATACAAAAAAATAAGCAACTTTTGATAGAAAATTTTATAAATATTTAAACAAATATTTATTTAGCCCTATCTAACTAAGTTTATACTGAACGTAATTTTACATCTTTGTTTAGATAAAAAAATATCCAACCCATCACCCAATTCAAATACCACTAATACGAGCTCTGTTCTTAACCCGCAAAATCCTCATACTTCCAACCAGACAAAGGGTAATAATTTAAACCCTAATCCCATTACAACATCGAACGTCACAAATTACAATCTCCCCGCTTCTCAAATTAGTAACAGTAAGGTTTATATTTTAAAGTGATTTTTTGGGGCATTAAATTAATTAAAACGGGCAGTATTTTTATTATCAAAAGAATAATGTTTTCAGTATTTATAATATTTATTGTCTAGCCAGTTTTTATTTTAAAGTTATCATTATTAATAAACTTATAAGATCCTCATTTAATTTTTTTAAATATAAATATTTCATTTCTTTTATAATATAAACAAGCCAAAATAGAGTTAATGAATATATTTATTAATAAAGTCATATAAATTAGTAATTATGTTTCATTTAATCTATAATAGATAGTTTGAATGTGATTATATTCAAAATAATTAGGATAAGGAAATGTAATATAATTATATTTAAAAACGTTAGACGTTCGAAATTACTTACCAAAAGTAATAATTGTTATTATAGTCAGTTAAATCGGTTAGAAATCACAAAAACATCCCATTTTTTAAATTATAGTCTACCCCATATCTGGCTCCCTTTTAAACTTTAGGCCTACCTAGCCTAACCTTAATAGAGAAATAATTTAAAACAAAAAAAAAATTTTTTTAATAAAATACACCACCTTGCAATATAACTATTTTAATTTGATTGTTTTGAATAGAATTTAATTTTAATGGCGTATATATTATGAAAGTAAATCAAAGTTTAGTTAATAGAGTAAATAACTACTTTTTACCTGTAGCATATGCAGTTCACCTAGGTATTGTAAAAATAATTGTATAGATTCTGCCAAAAAAGTGATTGATAATTTGTCAAAAATTTAAAACATTTACCAATTATTATTAAACCCATTTATCTTAAATAATGCCCAAGTATATAAATTAATAATTTGCCTAAAATTTTAAAAATATATCTCTAATAATTGGTTATATATACATATTATACAATCCTATCCATTTTATTTTTTACTTAATTATGAGATCGTCTATATATTCTTTTTTTTCCCCAATAAATTAAAAAATTAATCGGTATATTCTTTTTTTTTCTCGTAAAAAAATATCAATGTATTTGTTTTAAATATTATCGATATTAATATGTTATTTTTATATAAATAAATGTTTATCATATTTATTATTATTTTTTATCAATGTCATTAATAATTTATTTTTTTATAATAATTAGAAGTTATAAAACTCTTTGAAAAATAATAAAATTCATTTCTTCCTTTATAAGAAAAAATAAGTTTCCGGAGCAAATTTTCTGCTCTTTTTTATGTCTTTCAGGATAACACAGGTTTTAAAATATTTTACTCAAGATTTATATAAATTACCTTTTTATGATTGCCAATCTTTCTTATAAAAAATATTTTATTTTTCAATTAAAACAACGAAATGAATTTAATTATTTTTCAAAGTGTTTTATAACCTCTAATTATTACAAAAAAATTAATAAATATGATAAACATTTATTATAAAAAAAATAACAGATCAATATCGATAATATTAAAACAAAATACATTGATATTTTTTTACGAAAAAAAATAAATAAATATACCCATTAATTTTTTAGCGCAAAAAGAAATGAGGATAAGTACATTATATATTTCAGAGACCTGCAGAGGTACCATTTGCATGGCCCGGCCCTGTTTTAAATTTTTTAAAAAAATTTTTTACGGCCCAGCCCGTATTTAAAAATTTAAGGCCCAGCCCGGATATTTTTAAAAAAAAATTTTTACCACCCGGCCCGTACCGGATTTAAAAATTTCAGGCCCGGCTCGAAATTTTTTAAAATTATATTCGACCTGGTAAATACAAAAATTCACCTGAGGTATTTTACCATATTTTTCAGTGAGTATTATCGCTTATTATTTAAAAAATACATGTAAAAGCTAATATTTTGAGAATATTATATTGAATTTATAAAAATTATAAAACTGTTATTTATAAAAATGGATATTTTGAGCATATACTATATTTTATATTGCATTTATAAAAATAAAACTAATATTCATAAAAATAGTAATAATATTTTGAGCATATACTATATTTTATATTTCATTTAAAAAAAATAAAACTAATATTTAATTTATAAAAATGGAAAATATTTTGAGAATATAATATATTGTATTTAATTTACTATTTAATTTATAAAATAAAAATAAATCGCTATTTAAAATAATGCATGTATAATAAATAGTATTTTGAAAATATAATCTGATTGCACAATATTAATATAATTTATTTTATAATATAAATTTTTTATAATATTGTAAAAAAAAATAATGAAAAATGTTGGATTAAAAACTTTCATGACTCAAGGTAAAATATAATAAATGCAATAAATATTTGACAGTTTGCAAAGTAAAAAACCAGCATGATTGACGAAACGCTATACTCAAGAAAGATATTAAAAATTCACAAATTATCATGAAGATAGAGAAGCATACCTACCTTTTCAGGTTGAAGATTACTTCTTCTTTCTTCAAGAATTCTCCCAGTAGTGGAAAAATTCCGCTCACAGCTTGCACTTGAAGCAGGAATTGCCAATACCCGTTTTGCCAATTTTGCTAAAATTGGAAATTCGCTTTGATGAGCCGCCCACCACTCTAACAAATTATCCACCTTAAATGTTTCATCTATTTTTTTATTTATGTAATTATAATATTCATCATCGGGTATTGACATATTACCAGAATTACCATCGCCCCATTTGTCATAAAACGATTCAGTTTGTTTAACAACAGCGTAATTTGACTGGTCGATGGTATTTCATTTACTTCCTGAGCCTCTTGTAATTTAATATAATCTTTTATATAGTTTTCCGTCATCTTGCGATCTGTCCCTGACAACATACGTAATTGCTTGAATTTGGGACAGAGAAAAAGAGAAATAAAATGATACTTGTGTAAAACAAATTTTTCAATTAAAAAATGTTTTATATTATGTAAAATCAAATATATTTCTCCTTTTTCGCTTTGAAAGGTATTACAAACTTCAAGAAGTGATATTCCTTTATTTGATTGTTTTGGTAAAATATATTCTAAAAATTTAGATATGAGTTATAAAAAAATATATTAATAATACTTGAATATTGGGGCTTATTTAAGATATTCCTTTATTTGATGTTTTGGTAAAATATGTTGTAAAAATTTAGATATGAATTATAAAAAATATATTAATACTTTGAATAAATTTGCAGGAAATTAATAATTAGATCGATTAGTGGGTGTTAGGTAGTGTTAACCATCACCCAATATTATATTAATCATATCTATAATATAATATAATCTTATAACCATTAACTCATAATGTAAAAATTTTTATAAAAAATATTAAGGCCCGGCCCGGATATGTTTAACAATCTTAGGCCCAGCCTGGATATATTTTTAAAAAAAATTTTAGGCCTGGCCCGGATATGTTTAAAAAATATTTTTTTAGGCCCAGCCTGGCCTGGGTATATTTAAAAAATTTTAAATACGGGCAGGGCCTGCAGGCCTCTGATATATTTAACCGATTATTACATGCCTCCACTACCTCAGACCCCGACAAGTATATCCCTAGTAGTTCCAACTCTTCGGCGATGGATCCACTATTGGCGGATTTCACACATCCCCCCCCCCATTGAGATTTGTTTCCACGGCCGGGAGGATTTCACCACGTCAACCGATCTTGACTGTAGGAAAATGTGTCCCTAACCTTGTCAAGGGATAAAAAATTATCCTCGATCAAACTTCGCTCCTGGTTCTGCTTCGGCTCCTCATCCGTCTCAAAGTCTAGGAGGGCACTGAATTTACAGGTGATCCCTCGAATAGTATATGTAACTTCCGAACGCTCCTTTGCGACAGCAATCCTGGGTAGCTAGGCATGAGCAACTCCTCGCATCCCTATGATTGGCTATCACTTCTCGGGCTGGTAGTATTCTGATTCCAACTGGCCTTGGGGGCAGTATCGTTTGGGAAAAGGGAAAACAACATCCTTCAGCCTTCTTCATCCATTCAACCTCGAAAAATGCTCAATCAAATAGTAATATTCTCCCCATACAAGCATCTATGAACTCCATACATAGTTTGTGGAGGTCAACTATAGTTTAATTCGCATAACGAAGAAAAAATTTTGTTATAAATTTACAAAAATAATTTAACTTACTTAATTTTCCTTTCATCCAAAAAGAGATCTTTTAAATATTTTGAACAAGCTTATTTATAGAGGAAAAGAAAAATATAATAGTTTGAGGGATGAAGCCCAAAGATTCGGGTAAAATGACATTTATTTAGAAAATGAAATAGATGGGTGTTGACGGTTGGACAGCGAAAAAATTGTTGTCATATAATTCTGTTTGAAAGGATGGCTGAATGAAAGTCGTGGTGGAAACCTCCCTCGAAAAGGCCTCGGAGACAAATCCCAATGGCGGGAACCTGGGAAATTGGTCGATAGTGACTATCGGCCGAAGAGTTGGAAGAACTACTGTGGTTCGACCTGTCAGGGTCTGGGGGCATTTAATAATTGGTTATATATATTGTACTTATCCTTATTAGAATAATTCATTTTATTATTTTCATAATTATGAGATCGTCTATAAATTAATCGGTAATTTTTTATATAAATAAATGTTTAACATATATTTATTAATTTTTTTGTAATAATTAGTTATAAAACTCTTTGAAAAATTCATTTCATCGTTTTAATTCAAAAATATAATAATTTTTAATTGATATATTCAAAGTATCCAGAACATAATAAAATACGAATAATTGGCAATCAAAAAAAGGTAATTTATATAAATCTTGAGGAAAGTATTTTAAAAACCCGGGTTTTCCTAAATGACATAAAAACGTGTATCAGAAAAATTTATAATGTCTAAAGTAATTTAAAATTAATCCTTATTTTTTTATTTAAAAAACCAACTTTTTTCAAAAAAAATTTTATATTTATATTTTTGACAGAAATCCTGAAATTTAGAGACGTTATTTAAACTACATTAATTATGAAAAATGTAACTGCATTTACAATTGCCCGGTTTTCGGATACTATAAACCGCTTTTGTCACTGGAAAGTTATTATTCTTTGAAAAAGTGCTGACTAAACCTAATTTCCAAAATTAATATTTTATAACAAATTCGCAATCTACCTAATGGATTCATTCTTATAAACATCTCGCTTTCGATATTTTGACGTGGATTAATAGATTTCGGCGTTCCTTAAATTCTAATTATTCAGTAAAAAAAAATTTAAATGGTTATTTGTGATATTTTTTTTATATTTTTCTTCTCCGTTTATATTTATTATGTTATTTAGAAATATTATTATAACTTTGTAATTTGTTCGCATTTTTTAAAAAAAAGGATGAAAGTTAGCATTCGGTCATTTTCTTATCGCTTTGTATAACTTATGTGATCCTTTATTATCAAATCAATATTATAAATTATTTGACATTAATCGTAAAAAAAATTTCTCTTGTATATTATCTCTTCTAAAAAAACTTTAGATAATAAATTTATTTTTGTAATTATGATTTATATTTCGAAGTATCCAATTATAAATGTTTAATTATTATATTTAAAAGAAAATGATAAAATAAAAATAATGTACAATTCTCTCCAAACCTCCAGCTTATTAGTCTCAATTTTAAAAAATTTTTAAGGTATATTAATATTTACATATTTTTAAATTTACTAATCCACATTAATAAATTAATTATAATTAATCATGCCTTTTATTTATACATATTAAGATTAAGGCATTCTCTGATATTACTTTTTGTCATCCTTGGCAAAATTCGTGATTTTTTAATAAAAAAAACTTTTTTAAAAAATTTAAATTCGATTATCGAGAAAAATATCATATAAGATATAAAAATTAATTATATCACTATAATAATACCTTGCTAATAGAGTTAAAGCTTCAGGAGATCCTATTAGGAAATTGTTGAAAAATTCATACTGATAAATCTTATTCATTAGAAATTTTGTCAAACAAAGAGCAGATTGGTATATAAAATTTCGATGATATGCATGCATATTACATTGTTGTGCAGATTTAATTTAAATCACTTCCATATAATTTGAAAATAAAATTATTTGACTTGCAAAAAATTGTTATAATATCATATTTAAATGTTCTTATCAATTTTTACAAGTTAAATAATTATATTTACAAACGAATTAAAAAATATGGAAATGTTTAAAATCAAATCTGCACAACACTGTTGATTTTTTCTAGTGCTGTAAACATTTCTAAAAAAATCGAACACGTTCAAGTTCACTTTCAAAAAAAAGGAACGCGTTCACGTTCATGAACCGTTCAAAATTATGATAAATTTTTTTTTAAATTTTCTAATATAAATAAATGTCTTATTTATTACACAATATTAGCCATGTTAAAAATAATATAGTTTTATTTTGATAATATAATTATAAATTCAAAATAATATATCAAATAAAAAGATATTTTTATTTATAAAAAATTTTTCTTATTAATTTTTAATAACAATATTTTTCAAAATATTTATCGATAGACAAGAACGCTTGGCAGTTAATACGGCATTAGCTATACTAAAAACGCGCTCAAGGGTAGATGAGGTTATTGCGGTATTATACTTAATAATTAACTCTTTTAACGTGGGGAATTTATTAAAAACATTTATTGTTTTGTTATTTGCTTCAAAGAATTGAGATAAGTTATCCTCCTCCAATCCATTCTCTACTTCCTCGACAAAAAAAAGGATATCTCGAAATTAACACTTCTTGCATTATCATTTCTAGGGTTTTCAAAGCATTTTTTTTTCAATAACGCTATAAGTTTATTTTTAATAGGTTCGTTCTGTGGATGTTTTATCCATGGCCATTGAAGCTTGAATACTGGATGTATAATTGCAGAAAGAACATATTGATCTTCATATATATGTTCAAATCTTTAAAAAAATAAAATATATGTAATTAATTGAGAGTGATAGGTTTAATACCTTTTATTAATCCCATTTAATACAGCGTCTGTCAAGGTTGACCATATTTGAGGCCACTAATTTTTTTTAATTTTAAAATAACTATCGTTATTGTTGGGGTCAAATATCCCAAATGCATTTTTTCTTCAATTTTAATGATTTTACTTAATTATATAATATAAAATAAAATATTTCAATCAAATGTCGTTTTAAATTGGAACCTGAAGATTTTGGGCACATTTTATACTTGGTAAGCATTGAATTAGTTCCTTCAATATAGGATGTTACTGTAAAACATTTATCATATTTGGCCATGGTAATGATAATTCATCTGATTTTGGATTTTCAGAATCAGATGATAAGGATTAAATAATAATATCCATGCTTATGCTAATCTATTAAATCTAATATATATAATCTCCATAATCATAACACGATCGTTTTCGTATCTCCCTAATGTATTTTAAATTTAAGGAGACTATATAGTGTAATGTTAATTTTATCTCCATAAAAAACACGATCCTTTTCGTATCTCCCTAATGTATTTTAAATTTAAGGAGACTATACAGTGTAATGTTAATTCTTTGCTCTCAACGAAAATCGAACACAAGTCTCCCGTTTCAAAGGCATATGCTTTACCGCATGCACAATTTGAATATAATTAAATTTAAAATATTAATTATATAGATATCAATTAATATCTGATATATTTAAAATTCTACCGTTTATTACTATTACCATCCTAGCTGATGGGGTTGAAGGGTAATTATTTAGTTTGTGTGTGGTATTAAATATATTTTAAATTTAAGAGAAAAAAAGGTAAAATTGTTGCAATGTATACTGTGAGCATGTATTAGAAATATCAGAATTTAAAAATGTGATGGAAATCATATTGTATAAAATTTAAAATAGAGGTGCTTTAAGATTTTTGAATTTTAAATATGGGTTATAGATTGGTCTGAAATTTTTGTTGCAGACATAGCCAGGTCTGATCAAAAAACCATATCCCATGCAACTTTCATAAATTAATTAATAGTTAACATTTTTAAAATTTTGCCTGTGCATTGAATTCACTGAATACACACCTAATATTATACATATTCCTGAATATTTAAGGGTAAATAGAACTTTAAATGCATCAAGTACCAATTCAATAGGAATAAGGTAGAACTTTAAATGGCAAGTATCCATTCAATAGTAATAAGAGATTTATTTTAATTCTTGAATTTATTTATAATTTAAGATTTTATACCATTATATTGGGGTTTCAGAAAAGATAAGAGAGATATGGAAGGAACAAAGCGCACCTTGGTAACACAAAACTCTTATCTAGCAAGATTAAATTTTTAGATTATAAATTACAAATACAAATAAATAAAATTACTAAATATTTCATTAACATATTTTATAAAAATAATGGAAAATTATAGAATAACCCCAAAATAAATATAAATTTTTAAATAAAACCTCATAACATAAGATAGGAAAATTTTGTATATTTACTCATAACTTCATAATTGTAGAATTTATGTTAATTAAATGTATAACCTTTTTGTTTTACTTATATATAATTGACTATGATTGAAGTTTACCTCCTATTATTTGTTAACTTAGACATATTTTTTTATATTTTCTATTGTAATTTAATAACAATTTCTTAAATTTAATTTTATATTTTGTAACTAAGTAATAAATCATTTGGTTTGTTTAAAATTTAAATTAGGATGAACTAATTTTTAGAATGGTACTTTAATATGTATTCATGAATTTCATATAAATACCAGGAGCTCACCAGTAGAATCATAGGTAAAGATATTTACCCTTTATTTGATGATAATTTAGAAATTAGACAGATTTAAATCTTATAAACCCCTTACATCAGACCTATTTTTCTGGATCAAAATAAATTATTTGGGTTTTCCTGGGCTTGGGAAATATTTTTCACCTTTAATATGGACTTGGACATAGCTTGAGAAACATTTTTCATAATTATTAGAGTCTAAGATTCCTGTAAGTTTTTTAATTTTAAATATGGGATTAAAATTGGCCTGAAAATTTCTTTTGAAGACATGGCAAGGCCTGATCAAAAACAAAGGCCCATCTTTCATATTCTGATTGTGACTTTTTATATATTTTATTTCAGTCCTCGAGTATCAAAATTATTATGGTCTTTTGCGGGTTTGAGAACATTAATTAAAAATGACAATTAAAAAATAACCAAGTGCGAGGACCTGGCTTGGGAATTTTTTTAATATTAGGCATAGTTGTAATATTTAACACAGAATATTTATATGGCCCTCAGGTAAAATCTAATTTAAATATATTTTATTCAAAAAAATAGTATCTGGCCTTGGTTGGGGTGAGCTGGGTTAAAATAGACTAAAAAATATATATTGTTTTTAGAGATTTACCTAACTCCAGGCTTGGAAAAAAATTTTGAAAATTACTATCGGTTGGCCAGGTTTGAGAAAATTTTTTTATAAAATTATTATGGGTTGGGCTGGCTTAGAAAATATTTCTATAAATTATATTGGGCTGGCCAGGGGAAAATTTTTCAAAATTATTATGAGCTTGGACGCATGAGAATTCTTTTATTATTAATTATAGGTCATGGCCTAAAACAAATTTTTTTTCAGGCCTGGGCTTGACCTAATCAAAAAACCAAGGTCCATGAAAATCTGAATTTTGATTGTATTTTTAAATTCATTATGATTATTTAAATATTTTATTTCAGTTCTCAACTACCAAAATTATTATGATTTTTCATTGGACTTGGAAGAATTTTTCATAATTAATATGGCTTTGGACTTTGCCTGGGAATTTTTTTTAATATTAAATATTAGGTATAAGTAGACCTGTGCGCCGGCCGGCCGTTGGACGGCCGCCGACCTTTTTTGGTTAGGCCGAAAACGCCGCCGTTAAAATTACGCCACACGGCCGGCGCAGAAATTTCTTCCTACCTTTTTATTCTAAATAATTGATCAACATCACTCTTGTAATTTTTTAATATCAATTAGGATTTTGATATTTTTATTTTCTACTATTTTAAAATCTTAATTATATTGACGTCATTATAGAATTTAATCAATCAAAAATCTAAAATTCCAAAAGTTACCAAATTTTACATATTTTTAAAATAGATGCATCTACTTTAATAATATAAATAATTTTAGTATCCTAACTGGATAATATAAAATACATAGTCTGGAAATTTTTTGCAAAAGAATTAGAGAAATTATTACTGTTCTAAGATATAAAACTGCAGAGGTTGAATTTGAATTCGAGGAATATCAAAGAAAATGCCTAAGTACAATAGATTTAACATCAGACATGCTAGATCTTGACAGCATTGATCCATAACCGGATACCCGGTTTCAAATTGGCAATTCCAATGATAATAATAACAATATTCCACGCATATGAAAACCTTAAAATTAAATATCCCAAAACACGTTGGCATAGTATATTAATTATGCTAGAAAGCATATCTGGATT